GCCCTAGGGGCACCGGGGACCCCTACTGGCCGGCTGCTTCGCGGGGGGCTGGGCGTGAACCGTGCTCGGTCTGGCGGGGGCGCACGCGGGCGGGCGGGGAGAGTCTGGGCTGTCGGGATGGTCTTGCAGAACCCAGAGCTGAACCTCCCTGAACAGGCGGGTGTAGATTCTAGCTGTGTGGTCTTGGGCAAGTCGCCTAGCTTGTCTGTGCCTCAGTTTCCCTGACGCTAAAGTGAGTGATTGGAAGAACCTGCACAATCACTTTATCTGTCCGTTCTGGTCCAGTTTTCCTTCCCCATCCCTGCCCCTGGCCCCTCTGCTCCACACAATCCCAGAGCCTCTCTTCAATTCCTTTAATTTGGAAGTGACCTGAGCCCCGGGGTCTTCCTCGTCTTTCTACCATCTCAATGCTACTTAATTGACTTTAATTCAGTGATTCAGAGGAGTTGAAGTTCTTTTCAACACTTTGTCCAATTCTCCGCGTATCTTATTTTTTAAATAAAACTTTGTTGCTGGGGGAAATTTTTTTTTTTTTTTTTAATTTAGGCAAGTACTAACAGGGTAAGCAGGTGCCCACAAAGCCATTGAGGAATTATAAGATTTATATTTTTAGGCAACTCTTAGCCTTTTTGTCCTAAATCTCCTGGTATATTCATTCTAACAAAACCCAGAAAGGGCCAAAGGAAGAATTTACTCGAAGGCAAACTTTTAGGAAACAAGAAAGGAAAATTTGAGAACATTTAGCTGTAACATCTCCACAATGGGTATTGTTGACTCCTCTCCTCTTAAAGTGATAAGCACTTAGCACAGTAGCTGGTGCCAAGATGTTGCTCAGTAAATAGTGAATGAATGCTCCTTACGGTCAATGCCACATATTTCAGCTCATCACTTAGGCAATGTCATAAATGCATGGGGGGATTTAAAAAGGGAGCAAATTTCCACATTTTGTAGAACCAAGAGCTACTACACTGCGAAAAGCTCACACTGCATGGTTTGCCAACAGCAGAGTCTTCTTGTTTTATAGGTTAATAACTGTAAGCATTTTAGAAAGCTAGGTCATTTTTTTCCCCCTAACAGATTAAAAACCAAGAAACATAAACCAGAAGCAGCAGTTTCTTGACATGGAGAACCAAGCCAATAATACAGTGGGGTAAGTGCTGAAAATTATCTGTTTGTTAAGTTGGTACTTAACTATGCCCCAAACTCCCTGATGGTACATGAATTTTGAAATTTGGTATTAATAGAAGGATGTACCAATTACTTTTGGTGAGGAGGATGGAGGGAAACTCAAGTGATTCTAATTAAGAACCTATGGTATGAATCTTTCCAATTTTGACTATGGATCTGGACTCAAAAATCACCATTTCCCTACATTTAGTGAGTTTTTACAGTGTTTTGGGATGATGGGTGCCCACGCAGGCCTCTTGTGCTCTTGGGTTTCCATAGGGCAGTGGCTCCCACCCATACTGCCCCTATCTTGCTGCATTGAGTGTCCCAGGCTTCCCTCCACACTTGCCCTTAAGGCCGAACTCAACCCTTAGCCTCAAAACAGATCTGGCTCCTACAGACTCTTTTTTTTTTTTTAAACGTTTATTTATTATTGAGAGAGAGAGCATGAGCATGGGAAGGGCAGGCACAGAATCTGAAGCAAGCTCCAGGTTCTGAGCTGTCAGCACAGAGCCCGACGCGGGGCTCGATCTCACAAACTGTGAGATCGTGACCTGAACTGAAGTCGGACACTTAACTGACTGAGCCACCCAGGTGCCCCATGGCTCCTACAGACCCTTAAGTCTAGAGAACAAACTGGTGGTTACCAGAGGGCACGTGGGTGGGGGGATGGCGAAATAGGTAAAGGGGATTAAGAGTCCACTAATCATTGTGAGCACTGAGTCATGTGTAGAATTGTTGAATCACCACATTGTACACCTGAAACTATTATATCACTGTAAAGTGTACTGGGATTAAAATTAATTAATCAAAAATTAATAACGTTTTAAAAAACCGGATTTATCTCCTCAAACAACAGTAAGAACTGGATGTTTTACCAAAGTCTCATAAAGCGATCAAGAATAGAATTTGTACAGCACTCACCATTGTAAATAATTAAATTCCCTTTCACAAATATCTGTCCCCACCCCTTCTGTGCCACCTGCACCACAAAGGTATCTCTTCCTATTGTTTCATTAGTCACCCGGCCACTGGCTGACTCCAGAGCTGGGGGACAGGGGAGGGGCCAGCGAAGGGGAGTGGTACTGGAGTGCCTACTCTGGACTGTGACTGACTTGCACTAGTCATACCACCCAGGTGGCTATTCTGCGCTGACCATGACTTTGACATCAGGCTAAAGGAGGGCTGCACAAGTCCAAGTAGTTACAGCCGTCAGTTTTGTAAATCCTACTCTATACTTCTTACAACGGCCCCGTTAGGCATTGTTCTCATTTTACATCTAAGAAAATTGAGTGTATTAGAGTATAGGCCGAGGTCTTGCAATGAAGAGGCCCCAAAATGCAGTGGTTGAAATAAGGCTGAAGTTTATTTCTGTCTCATGAATAGGTTTAGGGATAAGCAGACCAGGACTGGTGGGGCAGCTCTGCCATCCTCACTAGGTGATTTTTCATCTCTGGACCCAAAATGACTGCTTCAACTCCCACCACTGTGCTCCTGCCAGAGGGAAGGGGGAAGGGCAAGGGGAGAATTTGGTTCCTTTTCGGAATGTGCCCCCGAAAGAGCAGGCCTTACTTCTCGTCATTTTCCACTGGCCAGAGCTACAGCTAGCTAAAAGGAAGGTTGGGAAGTGTGATCTCCAACTGAGCAGCTCTATGGCCAGCTAAAGCTTAGGTGAGAAAAGGGAGAAGAGTGGATATTGGTGGACAGTTAGCAGCCGCGGCCACATTTCTGAGCTCAGAGAGGTAGAAAGAAAGAGAAAGAAAGCAGCAGCTTGCCCCAGAATATGCAGCTGGTTAGCGGAGAAGGTAGGATTTGAATTCAGATATGTCTGGTTCTAATCCCGGCATCCTTTGCTACATTGGAAATGGGGGCAGTGAGAGTATCTGTAAGCAGAGCCAGGTTAGGATTCTGGATTGAGCAGGTGTTAGGTCCCTGATGTGATGATGGCACTGAGGGCCTAGGTGCAGATTGAAGGTCTCAGACCTAAGGTTGGGTGCCAGATGGAGGCCATGGAGACTGCTGCTATTTCTCTTCATTCTTTTGGGGGAAAAGTGTGGAATATTGAATGTGTGGCAAGCACAACACTAAGTCTTCTGGTTCATACAAAGATCATTAAGAAACAGACCTTAAACAACTTAGAATTTAGTAGGGAGCTATAGCACTTGTACAATGTGATTGCAAGTGTATTAGAGTGTAGGCTAGAGTATAGACCAAATTCTCCCCTTGCCCCCTGCCCCAGAAGTGAATGAGAATTACTAGAAGTTTCCATGAGCAAGTACCCTACTGATCCCCGCAGACATGGGACCAGACATTGTCTACCATGGCCTACAAAGCACGAAGCGTCAGGTTGACTTTGCTTCTGTCCCTCATGCTGTTGAGAAATATGTAAAAATCTAGATCATAAAGACAGTAAAACTTCATCAGGGGCATGTTACAGAGCTTATCAAAGCATGTCACCTACATACGGTAATGTTTTGTGGTGCAACGTTCATTTAACAATACGTATCTAGAGTCTCCTATGAGGCATTGATTGTTGTAAGCACCAGGAAAAGAGCAGTGAACAAAACAGAGACCACTCCTCCAAGGGTCAGTGGGAGTCATTAACATGTTTTCTATGGTGATGTGAAGAAAAATAAAGCTGGCCAAGGATGAGAAGATGAACGGGATGGTCAAACCAGCATTCCCTGCTAAGGTGACATTTGAGCAAAGATGATATTGGGCAAAGAGAGTTCCAGACAGCAGGAACAGAAAGCATGAAGGCGTAAGGTGGGCGTTTTTACACAGAATATTTGTTAGGTGAATTATTCTCCAACAGCTGGGTTACAACAGGGTTTGGTTTTCATTTTAAATCCATGATTTCCCCCCCAGTTATAGGTGTTTGTATTTGTGCCATCATAATCAACCTAAACTCCTTCTAATCAAAACAGCCATGTTTGAGTTTGTTCTTTTTATTTGTTTTTAGAGTGTATGCCCAGAACATAATTATAAATGAGCAAACGATCTGTTTGTCTTGGCCTGCTTAAGAGAACCATGTCTACAGTTTGCTTTGTTTCCGCTTCCTTATTGATTTCTACTCTTATTAACTTGTCCTTCTTGGATTTATTTTACTTCTTTTGTTCTCTGGATTTTTTTAGTTAAAAAAATGTGGTTCGCTTATTTTTATGATTTCTGAATTTTATGATTTCTTTAAGTAATAAAAGCCTTTCAAGCTCAAGTTTCTCCTGAGCGCAGCTCTGCTGTGGGGCCATCCTATTAGTGTTTCCACTCTAATTTTCTAAATAAATTGCCTGCGATTTCAGCTTTGATTTCTGTTTGACTAATTTGAGATACTGAAGACATGAAAGTTGTGAGGGAGGGATTAATTATATTTTTATTACTATTCCTTTCTAATCTCCCTACCA